TGCTCATACCCGCGATCGTCACCGCCATCGCCACCGTCACCGCCGATCGTCCATCGCCGTACATAGCTCAGTTCTCGTCCGTAACCGCCGATCGTCCAATCGCCGCTGCTCGTACCTCGCCGCCGATCATCCTCCCTCACTGCCGCTCTCTCTGTCACACAACGAACGACGTTCCTGCTCCTCCGTCACCACCGATCTGAAGCCACCACCACCACCACCGATCTGCAGCCACGACCATGACCAGGACAGATCGTGATGAAGCCCCCCCTCTCTCTCTCTATATATATATACATATTTGTTGTTCATTGATGCACAAATTTTTTTTTTCCAAGTTATTTATATTATATATGTTGATGAACATATATCTGTTGTTGTGTGTGTGTGTTGTAACACTGTGTTGAACAGATCTGTAATGTATACATACAGATTTTTTTTTTTTTTTGTTCTTGTGTTTGTAATATGTGTTAAAAAAAATTTTGTTTGTTGATCTGTTGTTGAAAAAATCTCTCTCTCTCTCTGTTGTTTGATGAACATGTTGATCAATTGGTCGGGGAAATTTCGGGGTCGGGAAACCCGATCCCTGTTAGGGGACGGGGACGGGGACGGGAGTGGTTATGGGTTCCCCGTCGGGGATCGGGGCCGGAGACGAGAGTATTTCCACCATCGGGGATCGGGGACGGGGAGTGTGATCCCGCGCCCGCCCCGCCCCGTTGCCATTCCTAGAAATAATGTTATGAAATGATAGAATTTAATAAGATAATTATGACCAAAATAAAATAATATATTAAAAGAAAAATACATTAAACCCCACTGGGAGTCCCCAGCGCGGTTGTGATTCACACGGTAAAGATGCCGCCACCGAGATCCCAATTACACGCCGAAGATTTTCCTGTATTATTATCGCGGGTGATGTTATCAATGTACCTTTATAAGGAACAAAAAAACATTGACGTCCAACTTTGGCGTCGAATACGGAGTCATGCTTAATTGTGCTTCTCCCAAAAGATATACTCAAATATAATTTGAGGAAATATTATTTTGTCTTAAATTTTTACATATTTTTTAATTTGAATTTTAAATTTGATTAATATTAATTTTATATTTAAATTGTTAAAATTTTAATTAATTTAACCTCATCGTCATATTTTGTCTACAATTAAACAGATTGTACTGATGTAATACCAAAAATTAATTTAAAATTTCATTTTACTCTCAAATTATATTTTAAAATTTAATGTCTCCCAAAAAAAAAAAATTCAGGAACAAATTAAAAAAAATTCGTGAAAATTTGAAAGGTAAATGATATTTTTTTCCTCAATATATTTTGGAGCTGATACAAAAAATGAATTTAAATTCTAAAATTCTACATAAAAAAATTTAGAAAGAATATTAAAAAAATTCAGAACTTTTTTGGGGAGGTAAAAAAATTCTCATTGTAACAAAATAAATTTTAAATTTTTATTTTTTTCAATTTAAATTCTAATATTTAAATATTTTAATCATTAAACTCATTTAAGTGTTTATAAATATTTTTAAAAATAAATTTGTGATGCAATGTATTAATTTTAGTAGCTAGGTGAACTATTTATCGCAATTATTACCGAAGGTAATCAGTGAACGGAATCAACAAACCGCTTGCCTCTTTTTAGTCATACCTCATTAAATCAAACACAGTAAATCCTTGATTCTTGGTCAAAGAGGAGCCATTAACGGATTGCCCCTTACGCAATTGCTGCCTATAAAGAGCACAAACAGCATTCATGCATAGTTTGGGATTGTTCTGAAATGCTAAAATCATGTCAATTTCAAATAACCATATTTTCTTTTTATCATTCCTACTTCGGAGCTTTTTAATCGTACTTTCAATGTCAGAAGAACTATCTGCACTGTCAGAACCATCACCCACATCTGTAATCAACTCTTGAGTTGCCTTTGTTTTAAGTTTACTAATTGGAGTCATGTCATCATCATCATCGTCATCGTCATCATCGTCATCATCATCTTACTCACATCAATATTAGTGCGTGGACCTCTTTTTCTTTTGGTACTTGAATCCAAGAGGCGATTCTCTGTGCAACTTCTCCCATTTTCATCACCAGTCTGATGAAAATGTGCACTTCCTATTTCTTTATCACTCAGAATAAATCCTGAAGCAACAACATTGGGCACGCTAGTTGTTCCATCCCTTGGGCACGCCAAGAAAAACCTGAAGTGTGCTTCTGGCAGTGTCTCTCCATCTGAGCTTCTTTCATTTGCCAAATCTCAGGTTAAGACTTGTTATCATCTGACAAGATCAATACATCTTTGGAACTGGGACTAAACTGTTCTTTCAAAAAACCAAACCAAACTATACGATTTGAAGTGATTTGAATCAATTTGACATATTTTTTTAGAATAGGAACTAGTTTGTTACAAGGCTCTAATTCTTGCAATGTTTGAACCCTCAGGTGGACTATATTCTTGGAGACAACCCAAGAGCTACAAGTTATATGGTAGGCTATGGAAACAACTACCCACAACAGGTTCATCACAGAGCTTCCTCCATTGTCTCCTTCAAGGTCAACCCTTCATTTGTCAGTTGCCGTGGAGGCTATGCCACATGGTTTAGCAAGAATGCAAGCGATCCAAACCTCCTAACAGGTGCTCTTGTTGGTGGACCCGACGCTTATTTATGACAACTTTGCTGATCAAAGAGACAACTATGAGCAAACAAAGCCAGCTACCTACAACAATGCTCCTCTTCTTGGCATTTTAGCAAGACTACACAGTGGACATAGCGGCTACAACCAGCTCCTTCCAGGTATGTATACGGGTTATAATCTGAAATTTTGTCACTTACTTATTTCTTTATTCTATATGATTAAGAATAACATTTTCTCTTGCTGATAATGTTTAATAAAATTTGTTTTACAGTGACCTTTCCAGCCCCTAAAACCCAGCCAAAGCTTGCTCCAGTTACCGGAACCACACCATCTCAAGGTATTCTTGCAATCCTCATGCAAAGACATCCCTGTTGGACTTTGTCTAATTCTAGGAAGCACGTACTCTTCAAATTGGGTATTGTGTTTGTGTCCAACATGTATTGGATACCAACACACCATTGATACGTGTGTTCACATTTAGACACGCCACATGAAGTGTTAAATTTTTTTTATTATTATTATTTTGCATAACACTTAACGGATACATGTGTCATATGTTTGGACATGCCTACACTTTTATGGATTTTTTAAAATAATTTTAGAAAGCTTATTTGAGTTCAAAGTAAAGAAACAAAAAGATGGAAAGTGAAGAAAAATAAAAATACACACATACATTGATGTCTCTTATATCTTTATACTCAAAATTTATATCTATAATTTTATTTTATTTTTGGTTTACTATATCCCCAATATATCTTAACTTTTTCAAAATTGTTGTGTCTCATGTCTGCGTCCGTACTACTTCGATCCAGAGGTTGGAAGAATTTCTTGTGGCCTGTAATTCCAAATGTTGATCTAATATGGGAATAATTAAATCTAATGTAATTTGCTTGTTTTGCAGTTTCGTCTTCTGCACCCATTGCCATTGAACAAAAGATGACAAGTTCATGGGATTACAATGGCAAGACTTACTACAGATACTCCACAACTGTGACAAACAAGTCACCCAAAACACTGAAATTTCTCAACCTTTCAATCTCCAAGCTCTACGGTCCTCTGTGGGGCCTGACAAAGTCGGGCGATTCATATGTTTTTCCAGCATGGCTCAACTCTCTAACAGCTGGGAAGAGCCTAGAGTTTGCTTACATCCACTCTGCCTCTCAAGCTAATGTCTCAGTCTCAAGCTACAATTTGGCCTAAAATTACGAAAAGAGGTGGCTGACACGGGTTTTTCTTGGGTTGTGATGCGAGAATTGGGATTTTTCAGCTATACAAGATGCAATTTGGAAAGGGATTTGTTCTTTTAAGTTGTAATTTTTCAATTACTTGTTGATTTTGGATTGAGAGTAGGTTTGCCGATGGAATGTTAGGAGGGAGAAAGGCATGAAGAGATGATTAAACAGGTGTGCTCATCCTCTTTCTCCTCCACTTCAGTAGTTATTAGCATAGATAGTTTTGAGACACAGATAGGGCAAGTGTGCATGTTGAGAAGAAAATTATTTCTCAGTATGACAAAAAAAAAATCAAGGAGTTTGTTTTTTTTTTTTTTGTGTGTCCTTTAAAAACAACTTTGAGTGCTCTCTCTCTCTCTCTCTCTCTCATGTAATTGTATTTCCAAAATTTCACTCTCTCTCATGTAATTGTATTTCCAAAATTTCACATTTGCAATACGAATATAGTTTGTGCAATGACAAAAGATTTCTCATGTTTGTCATTTGATTGATGAATTTTGGTTTATGTATTGAATTCTTTTTCTTGGTATCTTTGTTTCACGTTCACATTATAATTAAGTGCTCCAATCTTTCTATGCCTGTGTTCTTTGGCCATTTTTATATAAAATATAATGTTTTCTAAACAATTTTAGGAAAAATATATCGTTAAAAAAATTAGACCAAAAAATGGTTGTTGAGTCGGCACAAATAGGGACCAATCTTAATATTCCAGTTCTCCCAATTGGATATCTGGTGACTAACCAATACAACCTCAAGTATGTACCTGCAAAGTAATAATAATGATAACAATATCTTCAGAAAATTACAAAAACAATTCAGGATTTAATTAAACCTTAGTGTTCTAATTTTTCATTGTAAACCTCTCTGTTTTTAAATTGATACAATTTGAACAATCTGTCCATCCCTGTCTAAAGCCAATAAACCTTTCTCTTTTCAATACCAAATTTATCTTTCAACACAAAGGATGGAAATTTCCTTTTCTTGTGTTGAAGACTAGAAAGATGAATAATCAGAGAAAACACAGCTTCAATAGAACTGAACAAGATTTGGCTTTGGCATGCATTAATAGAACTATGAAAAGTGAAATTGAATCCAATAAATTAACATGATTGGTGCCACATCGGTTTGTAAGTTTTGTTGATTTGTATAGCACTAATCATCAAGGTTATACAAGTAACCAACAATATATACAGTTTCAAGAAAGAGTGGGATGCCAAAAAGCCAAAACTGGCAATAGCATCGAAGAATGAAGATCCTTTTTTAGGGCTGTTAAAATTTAGAAAACACCATCTTCAGGTAGTTTGCTTACTTTGCACCCTTGTACATGTTGTCAACAATGTTCTGCAATGCAACACAAAGATTTCCCCTTAGTACTGTGCCACCCAAAAAACAAAAGAGTACTATAAAGTAGTCATAAACAGAGATGACAAATTAACAAATTCCAAAAAAGTTAATTGGAAATTTAAGTCGACTAAAAGTTCTTGCATGGACTAGTTGCTTGGCAGATGGCAACATGGAGTGAACTAGAAATCTCCAATGTTTAAACACTCATGGCCAAGGGCGGAACCAGGATTTTAACTCGAGGGGGGTCAATTTTTGGCTTTTCTTCTCCACAGATTATTCTAATACATATTTTTCTACAATGAAATGATTTCCTCCCGATTCCTCTCAAGTCTCACCGGAAAAAAATTAGAATTCTAATACACATTTCACATATTTCAAAACATTTTTGGGTCAAAGCATCTAGTTAATGAACATAGTACAATGGCATGCCATAAGATTCCTCGAGAGAATCAAGAAGAGCTACCTGGTAGTATTTGAGCAACTGAGGCCTCTTCTTCTTGAATGTTGGGGTCAGAAGGTCACGTTCCATGTCGAATGGCTCGGGGTCAAGATGAACAGCTTTTATAAATTCAAACCCTTTCAACTGCCAGGCACATCACAAAAGTTTCAGAAATCTTCCGGAAGTAAATAATGTTTTCTTCCCCTCCGCTAACTCAGATTATTATTCAATTATCAAATGGAAGTAGAAATGAGAGGTGGTTGGAAGTGTAAAAGACACAAACCTTCTTTTCCTTTCCAATCCTTGTGAGCTCTACTAGTACGTTTTGTTTTGCCTTGGGATTTTCACAGAGGGAATTGAAATCCCCAGGTACACCATTTTCTTCAGCCCAACGTTCAAGTACTTGCTTATTTGGGTTTACAACAGCAACAAGGAAAGACTCAAAGCTGTTCCAATATACCCACCCATATCTGAGATTGAAATTCAGACATAATCAAACACAAGGAATAAACAAAATGCTCAATCTCCTAGCCCCAAAGTACAGGCATAGATTTGACCATTCATTAAGTCACTCCAAGGATTGTTTCCAACAGGAAAAAGTGCACAAATGTGAGAAATGAGAACATTCTTAGCAGATCCATAAGCATGCACAAAAGCATGAATGAACTAAGTATATAGATATCCTCAAGTTTTAACAAGAAAGAATAAGTTAGACCTCAGGATGCACACATCAAAATCAACCTATGGCAAATATCTTGTGCCTTAAGTGTAAGGAAACAAAAAACAAATCTGATGGGAAAAAAGCATGTAAATGCAAACACTAATTTTGTGAGATATAATCAATCATAGAGACCTGTGTCAAGTTTCTTCCTGTGCTTAAAAGCACACAACATGCACAAATTAGTTTAGCAGAAAAGGGATGGAAATTTAAAATAGCACACACTGGAAATGTGAGAGAGAGAGAGAGAGAGCATATGTAAGGTAATACATAAAAAGAATAACTTTTAACGGTCAAGAGGTTCACACAAACAATATCAGAAACAAAAGAAGACCACATTATAATGTCATAACAGTCAAGAAGTATTGAAACAAGGAAAATGCTATGGATCCAAGTAAATTACCAAATAAATTACCAAACCTCTCACATGGGTGTGGGACCCACACACATGTGATTTGTGTGGGTCCCACACCCATGTGAGAGGTTTGGCAATTTATTTGGTAATTTACTTGGGGTCCCTAGCATAACTTTTAAAACAATATCAGAAACAAATCCATGCTCTCATCACTAGAAGGACATTGTTGGTAATATCTACAACGAATACATTCCATATTTGTTGACAACAATTGGAATGCTCACAGAGACAAAACTGAAACTTATATTCCATTTATATATTTACAATAGTTCTGAGGCATACCGAGTCAATACCAGTAACAGAACCATAAACATTCTCCAAGTTTTCAACTGCAACATATTCCCCTTGTGACAGCTTAAAAATGTTCTTCTTTCGGTCAATAATTTTCATGCTCCCATTGGGTTGCCACTCACCAACATCCCCTGACACAAACATTGTTAGGGGCAGGGTTGACTAAGAAAGAAAATTATGAGCACTATGTCAAATTAATTATGAAAGACACTGTCGTAGACAAACCTGTGTGGAGCCATCCATCAATCAGGACCTCTTTGGTGAGGTCTTCACGTTTGTGGTACCCTAAGAACAAGGTATCGCCCCTTATACATATTTCTCCGCGTGGTGTGCTTGAGAGGGCATCATATCCCATTTCAGGAATAGATTCTAGGCACACATCCACATTAGGCACTGGAGGACCAAGAGTACCAAGCATACCCAGCTCATTTGGTAGTGAGACAAATGTTCCCGCACAGCTTTCTGTGAGACCTACATCACAGAAAGAAAACAAATTAAAAAAAAAAATTAAGTTTACTGTATGATAATGGATATACAATGGAAGATACCAGTGCTGAATCAGTAAAAGTCTCTATTCATGGGCAGAAACAGGGGGAATATGGCACTGAGGTAATGGATTTAAAGAAATTTCATCAAACTTTCTCAGATGCCTTCAAAGCGAAGTGTAATAGAACTCATTCCCAAGTGGAGTTTAAGCAACAAAGAAACATATATCAGCAAGCTGTCTCAAATAGGCTGATAAGTAACAAAAACCACTTCCAAAGGGAGGAATGAGTGAAATTCAAATGTACATGCTAAAAAGGCAGATAAAATAATTCAAACATAAATTGATATGTACAAATTTCAAAGGACGACATACCATATCCTTGCAGAACATGACAACATGCCACCACTCGTAGAAAAGCTTCTACATGAGTAGCAAGAGGTGCCGCTCCAGATAAAATAAGCCGTACATTTCCGCCTAGCCCATGCTTTACCTGAGAATGGAGTTAAAAGAAATGAAAGCCATATTAAAGATTAAGTTTTGTATATATGGTCCCATGAGAAAGTAAAAGAGGAAAAGAAGAATGAAAAGCTGCTACAAGAATATGTCCACCACCTTATTGAAAACAATTTTGTCACAAAGTGGAGCTGCATCTACATGTTTACTCCCATTCTTCATGTTATGTAGCTTGCTGCAGCATTTGTTTAAATGCAGATAAAAATGAGACAGCACAAAATGACAACAAATTAGCTACCTTACTATTAAAGCAAACACTGTAGAAAAATCCAAGTCCCTGTAGATACACATCGGGTAGCCACAGTTTATGTTTCGCACACATGATGCATAAAGGGTTGCGCCCCCTTTTGATTTGTGCCTTTTAATACAAAATCTATCTTATAAAAAAATGCATGATGAATGAGATGACACTTGAAATAGGAAGTATAAAGCACAGAGTTCTGATCTTAAAAGGGTAATTTCAAGGTTATATAAATACGATGAGAAAAAGAATTAAGAACATGAAATTGTTCCAAAGGAAAAAAATGACCAAAATTTTGGAAGAATTGAATATCTAGTCACAAATTTTTGACCAATCAATATATGGTTGCGATGATGTCCTTCAAGAAGTGATAAAAGGTCTTCAGTTGAAAGGGTTAATAAATAAAATAGAATCTTCAAATGAAAAGAAATTGATGTGTGCATAAGTGATTCCACAAGATGTCCCTATTATCACTGCTATAGGTACTGAAAACGTTGCTAATTCTTTTTGTGACGTTTAGTACCACACGCCGACTACGCGGCCGTCGCTATAGCTTTATGGCGTTTGGAAAACGTCGTTATATTAGTATAGGAGGTGTTTTTTAAAACGCTGCCAAATGTCCTACCCTAACTGTACTGTGACGTCACTATGACATTTAGCAACGTTTTAGAAACGCCGTCAAAGACATTTATACATTTTAAAAATCTAACCGTTGGGGTAGGGATATAGTGACGTTCAAAAAACGCCGCCATAGCCTTTATTTTTATTATTTTTATTTTAAAGTTGTGCTAATTTTATATGGTTGAAAAAAATACCCGTCATAAAAATTATTAACAACTAATAATTGATGTTTATTAAAATAGTAAATAAACTAAGTTTGAAAACAAAATTAAAAATAAAAAACAATGCAATAAGATGTGATATATGTACAATTACAGAATATATCTAGACACAAAATATATTAGAAATCCGTGAGGATTTATTTACAAAGTCAGGCTTGAAACTCATGCAGAAAGCAGAGCAAACATCCATACTCCTAATGACACAATACCGATAGTAGCAAAAGCTTGGCCCAGTTCATAAACAAAATTTTCTTTCTAAACAAGGCAAACTTTGCCAATTTGTCCTCCTACAAAAAGTCACGGCCAGGACCAAATTAGAAAGGTTAATATCAGTACAATAGATTGACACATTAGATTAGAATGGAAAACATTAGATCAAATTAACTTAATGCATACAAGTGCATACCCCAAATCAACAATGATGATGCTGACATTATCTTGTAAACGTCGGTCCTGTAATATACAAAAATTTGCAGGTATGATCAAGCATTGTGCAAGAAAAATAAACATCTACGCATCCATTACCAGAGCTACTCTTCCAAGTGCCTCACAAGCTAACAAAAATCAGAACAAAAGAAGTTAAAACTTTGTAAACCATAACACTGGTATACCAGAATTGAGGCAAATTTTTTACCTGAACATCTCTGTGTTGCCGAAGCTGATTCCTAACAAAATTAACTGCTTTTGAGCTGAAACAAAAGCAAAGTTGATGAGATAATACTCATCTTGTGGTTAATTGAGAAAAATATTAAATAAATAACTATCATGCTAATTTAAGATAATTTACAGAATGTAAGTACAAGGTTCAAACAGGAAACCACAATCAGCACTGTCAGTATAAAGCACAGTTTTACGTCGTCATAGATATCTTCATCAGCAGTTCCAAGAGCTATTTCTCAGCTCCACAGACTGCTTTATTGTCTGTAAAGTTGTGTAACAATAAAGGTTTATTAAGAGAATGAAAGTGGAATGTTGATTTACCAGATTCTCACGGAGAAATGTATCCACAGTTGTCCCAGCATGCATAATTGCATTAGCATATATTGTTGCACTATGGCAGACACTATTTCTCGGCTCCACAGACTGCTTTATTGTCTTGAGAATAAGAAGATCCGACCTATATGCAAATTATAAAATTAATGAAAAAAGATTTTCACAGTACACAAATGGAACTCCTGAAAATTGAATTTGAGCAAAGCAGAATAAATAAAGAGCTGGAAATTATATCTGTTGTCTCACTTGCTATGACTGTATAAAAATTGTAGAGTCAACTGTATTGAAGTCTCTCCAGACAAAATTCCTTTTATTTTTGTTAGCCTCTCAGCATAGGTCACTTCTTTTGGATCTGCTTCTTGCACATTCACATTAGAAGCTTGAGTTCCATCTGTCATTTGAACATCCTCAGATGCAGTAGCTAAGTTTTAAATAGAACTACAAGTCCTGAACTACCCAAGGCAATTGGTTTGCCTTTTGATTGATCTGATACCATTGTATTAGGACAGTATGAAGATAATAATAAGAGAGTGCACTGAAAGAAACTGCTGAAAGAACTGAAAAAAGAAAACACCCAAATCTCTTAAAGAAGATATCCATCCTAGAATTCATATATAAAGCACATCTTTCAGACACATACAGAGACAGAATTCAACTTTTCTAAAATAGATATTTAAATTGTGTCCGTGTCCATGCTTCTTAGCTGTTAATGCAATTGTTGCCAATTTCAAATTTACCTAATACTACAATCTTCGATCAAGATTCTTTACTCTACCACCATAATTTTTTTGTGCTGCATAAATATGCTAATTATCAATAGAAATTCAGTTTGACCACATCAAAGAGTAAATTCAACTTAAATTGTGGTCTTGGCTGTATCCAGATTCTAGATACAGATATATCTCCATGAGAAAAATCACCAACAAACAGTCTGCTTCAGAGAATTTTGAGAGATCTTCAACTATCCAAGTCAAATACAAAAGGATAGAAGTAGAGCTCAATTACATGTATTATGCATAGGTTACATAAACACAAGATTTTGAGCAAATAAATAATTATATTATTTAAGTGCAATCATTGTTGATATCAAGCCTATCCTTTCTTGAGGAAATATATATATATATATATATATATTTATAAATATATTATATGGGGTGATTGACTGAATTTGAATTTATTGTATTTAGGGAGTTCACAAATCTCATTCTT